CATGTTTCGGAACAGAGGCTTGAACATGTCAATGCTAGAGTGCAATAGGAACAAGCTTAGCATTAGGGTTTGGGTTTGGGTCATGCTTCTCGAGAGTGTCAGCATATCATTCGAGACGGGCTTGGCGATAGACCATGGAGCATAGTTCAGGCTTGGGTTCGACTTGAATGTTGAATAATCACGTGGCCTGATTTTTGGTATCATTCGGCCGCTTGCTTTTTGTTCTTGTGCTCAGGGCAGTGCTGGAGTTGGGATTCGTTTAGGCCTATAATCTGGATTTGGGGATAAGTTAAGCGTCAGTTTGTAGTGAGGTCATGGGCTTTGCTCGATACTGATCCCAGTTTCGTGAATCATACGTGCTAGCTTTTAAGATGAGCCTTGCCTTAGATCGACTTCTTCGTGAGTAGCCTCTTCAACCGGACTTGGCTGAGCATGATACCGAAAATCTCTTGTCGCCAGAGGCAAGGGTGTTGTCTGTTCGAGCTCGTCTCGGCCATTCGGTCTGAGCGTCGGCGAGACCGTGTGGACGGTACCGAGTCCCGTGTCCGCTGCCAGAGCACCCATTGGCGTTGGCATGGGCATGACCGGCTCTAAACCCTCGAACATGGCGTAGTTGAGGACGGCAATTGAAGACTTCAGACAACCAAACAGTGACTTGGATCATTTTGGCACCTTGTCCGGAGTCCATCGTATGCGGCATCATTCACAAACTCGGACTGTGGACGTGGTACATTCACAGACGTTTCATAGTAGGCATCGTCAGTGAATCTGACCATTCTTAGCGCCACACAACAACTCGTCAAAGAGACAAGTGAAGCCCATCATTTGACCGAATGTGGTGTACTCAACAGTTGTGGCATTTCCTGTATCATCCGATCATGCCTCCACAGTTACAATATTTGTGTCGTGTGCTCCTTTGAGCGACATGAAACTTTCACACTCCAACTGTCATTTTCACCCCTTCATTCAAAGTCTGCTTCATTATTATGCACTTCTCTTTCATAGTCTCATCACAGTCTCTCTCTTGCTCCGCTAAATCCGTCTGCTCTACGCATCTTGTCCGGTCTCCATTGCATGCATCATCATTTCCAGACTAGGACTTTGGACGTGGTACATTACCAAACGTTTCGCCGGCATCGTCATTGAATATTGCCATTCTTAGCACCATACAAAAACTCGTCAAAATAGACAAGTGAAGACGATCCTTTGACCAAACGTGTGCCAAACAGTTGTGGTATCTCCCATTCTGCCCTGACCTATTCACATTTCCCATATCCTCCTATCACACCTTTAATGGTACCATTTTTTTTACTTGTTTAATTAAATGTGGTACGGTGTGCCCTTTTGAGCGGATATTATGAGAACCCTCCAAACTCCACACTGGCCTTCTCACCCCCCTTCATCCTTATGATGGGAATGTTGATCACAGTCTGCTTTATAATTATGCACTCCTCTTTCATAGTCTTATCACAGTCTCTCTCTTGCTCCGCTAAATCCGTCTAATCTACGCATCTCGTCCGGAGTCCATTGTATGCATCATCATTTCCAGACTAGGACCGTAAACGTGGTACATTCCCAGACCGTCAGTCTCGCCGTTCGTAGCACCACACAACAACTCGTCGAAGAGGAGTAGACACGTTCCTCTAAGTCTTCCTACCAAAATGACCAATTTGCGAAAACAAGATCAAGCAACTGCTCTACACCCAAAAATGACTTTGATGTTGAGCAGAGACGAATTGATGGGCGCTGAATGTGGGTGGTGGTGGTGGTGGTGGGTGGAGATAAGCAAGCCTGTCTAAACCCACTTGCAGCGAAACACTCGTTGGTGACGTTGTAGGAAATGAGAGCACAGGATTGTGTTAATATGAAGTGGGGTTGAGAAGGCGCTAGAAGGTGGAACAAAAATGGGCGCATGTACCAAGTCGATGGTGGAATAGCGGAAATTGCGAACACTCCGGAAGATGACACGGGACTAGTTTACTTCCACAATAGCTCCATGACGCTCCGACCAAGTTGGCAGAACATGATCAAACCAACGTTCCAAAGCGAAAGGAGACTGCAACCAAACAGAAGGTCCTCATTGAAGATATGAAGTCCAAGATGTTGTGACCTCTGGTATGGTGGCAGTCTCCTTTCGATGCATAGAAGTGGGTTGACCCCGTTGTCGCAACTTGGTCTTGTTGTTAGGGCCATTCGCCGCACCAAGCTACAAACTCGTCAAGACGACTCACTGATGCTGCCGACTACGAGGTACCAAGTCCACTGTCGGATGTTGGGAAGCATGACAACTACTTCGGACTAGGTGCATTCTACCAAGTTGCGACAACGAGGCCAACCCACTTGTAGAAGGTCTTCATGTCCAGAATGTCGCGGCGTCTCGGTCTTGTAGATGACCTTCGAATATGATCTAAATAGACTCTATAACATACACACATACACACACACACACACACAAATATATGTTTATGCCTTCCCATGTCAGTCGAGAATTGATGGATATTTATTTATTGGCCTACATATGCATTCGTGCCAGAATGTCTTAGAGTGTGGTACCGTGTTTTCGAAACACCGTTATAGCGACCAGATGTGTGTGTGTGTGTGTGTGTGTGTGTGCCGGGAATGATTAGGGTCTAAGGATCCACGTGCGGCAACTGGACGGAAGGTGAATCAAGAAGCATTGCTACATCATCGTCGTGCATTCAACCAAGTGTCGAGCGATTGTGCACTTTGTCTGCTTGTTGCACGAGAAGGAAGAGGCAACGATAGACTGTGGAAGCTTCGTTGACTCTGGACCTGTTCTAGGCTCGTCGTCCGCCTCTTCTTGGTCGTCCGTCACTTTGGAACCTGTCGCGTCGTCGATTCGATGCAGAGGCTCGAGCGTCTGGAATGACTTCCCGAGCCGGCGGACACTTCCCAGCCACGTTTCACACAACGTTGCTCCAGGCGATGGCAGAAGAAAAACACACCCAAATGATCTGTCTTTCTCTTCGTCCCTATGACTTGAGGGTCATATTGGCTCCGTGAAGCTTGGACAGCCTTGGCTGTTGCTGTACATGACATGAAATGGTTGTGACGACTTTCATTTTATGCGAAAATGTGTACGACTAGAAGGTTCTTAGGCAGATGTGACCGAAAAATGACGGCAGATTCCTGTTGTTCCGCAGTCGTTTGATGTTTCTCCAAGGTCCATTTTGACATGTTCCATGAAATGGCTTCTTTGGGAAATGAGTGAAAACCGGCTGAGATGTAGTCGTCGTCTCATTTGCATAAAAGTTGAAAAGAGAACACCGATTCGATAAAGCCGAATTTTGCTTACATTCCTCACGCACTCCCCAAAATACAGGTAGAAAAACAGATAGATATACAGATGGATAGATATGTATGCTTATGTGAAGAGAGAGGGATAGAAAGGTGGAGAATAAATACATATAGATAGATAGATAGATACACAGATGGATAGATATGTATGTTTATGTCAAGATAGAGGGATGGAAAGGTGGGTTATAAATAAATATAGATAGATAG